CCCTGCCTCTCCTCACCTTCTCCTCCCTAACCTGGCCTCCTGATGGTTCTCTACAGAACAGGTCTGCCTCTATCTTGGGCATGGCTTTTCCACTTGCAGCTGCCTCCTCACTCAGACATTTGCATGGCTTACTTTCTTCTTTCAGATCTTTAATGTTACTTCCCTAACACTATCCTGCCTCATTTTTCTTATTAGTTGTTGTTACTCTTTAACATACTAAATATTTTATCTTATTTACGGTCTATCTATTGCTAGTAAGCATTCAGTTAAAATTAAGTGCAAAGATGATTTTTTTCTTTGTGATGAGACTGGGGTTTGAATTTATTTTTCTTTTATATATTTTTAAATTGCATCATATACTTTAATGTACAAGTAGTTTTCACAAAGTAGTTTGAATGTGAGTGTTCTAATATTACTTTGAGGAAGTTAAGACATTTTGAAAAGTTATTAACTACTGTTAGTAACAGTATAAATATAAAAGGTAATTTTGAAAAAAATGTGTTAAAAGACTACTAAATATGATGAACAAACTATCTTAAGAGGTGGTTTTGAATACAAATGTAGGACTCTGAGCTGTGAAGAGAAACTCTGAGTCATTTAAGACAGGGAATCAAATCAGATGAAGCTTAATTAAAGGCAAAGTGACTTTATAGTGATTGTAAGTAGGTAAGCAATGAGACAAGTAGCATTAGTACTATATGATATTTATTATGGACTGACCATGGATTAGAATGGGGATATGTTCTAAGCACCATATATGATAGGTAACTTTTTTTCCTTTTATAGATAAGAATACCAAGGCTTAGAGAAGTTGCTACTTGCCCAGTGTCCCACATCTTTCATGGTAGAAGCCACACTTGAGCATAGATCTGATGATGCCAAGGGCCAAACCCTTGACCCCAAGTGGAGCTGCATCTTCTATGGACATTGGGCTCTGATGGCAGTTCACAAGGGTGAAAGTTAGGTAGAGGTAAAACTATGAAAATCCTTCAAGGAGTCATTGTTTTGGACCTCAGCACACCATTTCTCAGGAAGTCCAGAACAGTCAGAGTTTACTATCACTGGCTGAGACTAGCTGCTTTGGATGAACAACAGATACAAGAGCTAGTTTGCAGTTAGGGACAAATTATGTGGAAAAAATAAAACCCTTTAGACACTGGGCACACATACCATGGGGTGAGATGCTCAATATAAGAAGCACTTAGGAACAGAGGTTGAATGAAAGAAGAGTAGAATGAAGTCTCTCATTAGAATTTGCCCATGACACTTAAAAAGTTTATTCTTGCTCCCTCATTCCATGTTTGCATGTAGCTGCTTTTGCATATTATCACTTTACATTGTAGAGTCTCACCAAAAGCCAAGCAGCTTTGCTGGTTCAAGAGGATTACTTAATTCTCTACAATACTGAAAATCTCATTAAATATTTATTACTTGCTGTTGCATATCCAAGCCAAAGCTTCTTGAGTCAGGCGGTATGTCAATCACTTCAAATGTCTCCCAGAATTAATCAACAAGAAGGGATGACTTCAACTGTGTGAAATAAAAAAATGCTGTCCAAGATGCAGGCAAATCATTTTGCCATCAAAAGAAGGAAAACGCTCACTTCATTTCATTCATCTGACTCTGGTTAGGAGTTCCACCTGATTTCTTGGCACAGTTCTTGTTGTAGTGTATTTGGTGACTGGGGATGGAAGGATGTCATGGTAGTGGACATTCTTTTTCAGAATCAGACCAAAATTCAAGTGTCTCCCTTAGCCAGTCAGTATTGGCATTGTGTCCCTCATGTTATTGAAAAATAGTTCTTTCCAGCCCTATTTCCATGGTAGCACACTGAGACAGGAGGCACCCCTCCATCAGTATAAGACACTGTTCTCACCAGGGGTGAGAGTGATAACATTTGCTTCCTGAGATAGCAACACTGAATTTTGTGAGTTTGGATTGATTGTAGTTTGAAAAATGTTCCCTTGAAGAGTCCGTTACATACCTCTGAGGATCTGACTGTCTGCTTTCCAACTGATCCTTGTTTTAAAGCAATGTGTTTGATAAAAGTTCATTGAACTTAGAGTTTCTTGGTCTGGCTAGGGGCATTTGAATAGCATTTAGTTCCGATGTGTCCATTCTCCACTTTGAGTTGTTGGTATCTAGTTTCTTGAGATACGTGGAGGAGGGGGTCACCCCAAAGCTTTATGCAATGCTGAAGGAATCTTATTAAGGAGCTGAGAGTAGCATGTGAGAGAGATTACAGCTTGGATGCCTGGCATGCTTATGCCACTCCTTTGAAAGCAGCTGCTTAAAGCTCTGCCCACAAAAGCCATAGCATCACAGCCTGTTTGCTTAGCATAGCTGGCCCTGTTCTTTTTGCATGTTAACCACAGCTCAAGAAGTAGGAGAGGGAGGACACCTGGCACAGGGGTGACCAATTTATAGGCTTATGAGATAGACTCATGCAAGATGATAGAATCAGAATCTCCCCATAGGGAATTTGATCATGAGATATATGGAGAGGGTTTGGCAACTAGTCATGGGAGCAGAAGTGGAAAGTCGGGCAGAGAGACAAAGAGCTGTAGTTGTGCAACTTGCTTTGTTCCTGTTTCTAAAGACATTTCATGAGAGTTCTCGCAGTAGTATGCTACAGTGGGCTCTACTGCTCTGAGTTGCTATGTGACTTTATCTCTTCCCAACTTGACTTCAGAAACATTAGATTTCTAGCAATATTTACACCACATAAATTATGTCCTCCCAACACTCCTGGATCCAGACCTGGTTGTTAAACACTTACCAGCATACCATTGAGGGAAGGAAGGGATGGTATAGAAAGCAGTTGAAACAATTACTTCCACTGGATGTTTGCCTTAAAATCAGTTTTTTAAGTAATGTTAAAGTGATTCTTACAAGCTGGGTGCTGGTGGCTCACGCCTATAATTTTAGCTACTCAGGAGGCAGAGATCAGGAAGATTGCAGTTTGAAGTCAGCCCCCGGCTGAGACCCTATCCTGAAAAAACTCATCACAAAAAGAAAGGGCTGGTGGAGTGGCTCAAGTGGTAGAACTCCTGCCTGGCAAGCGTAAGGCCCTGAGTTCAAACCCCAGTACGCCACCAACCCTCCTCCCACACACACACAAAAAATTGTTACAAAGGTTACAATTAGAGATATTAGAGAAAACATTGTGAATTACATATGATCAGAATCCATAGTTAAACTACAAAACTCATAGAATGGTGGTCTGAAGGTGGTACCTTTCCTGTTCTCCCACCTATCAAAGGCATAGGCCCCACCTGCCATGCCCAGAAAGGGTGATCTGACAAGCCAGTTAAGCCTCTGATCTTATTTCCACCGGTATTCTTTACCTCTAGGACTTGAGGTAACCTGAGTGCTTACCAGTTACTTAAAACCACAAGAGCCCAAGAAATACAGTTTTTGAAGGCCCCTCTGTTTTTTTTTTTTTGTAGTTAATGTTAAGGAAATACATCAGATTAATATTGTAAAAAAAGTATATATGTACTTTGGAATGAAGTTTGAGTTTTAATACTATCTCACCCCTTTCTGGTAGCATGTTACCTATGCTTCAGTCTCTTTAGTTATAAAATAGAGATAAAAATAATAAGCTTACAGATATTTGTAAAGATTCAAATGAGATGCCAGGTATAAAACATCTAGCTCAGTGTCTGGCACTTACTATGCACTCATTAGCTTTATTTTTTTTTCTTCCCATCCTTAATGTACTTAATTCAAGCATTTAGAATAGCTGTTGGTGGTGAAGCCTGCAAAGCTGATCAACTCTCCATTTCATTAACATTAATTAGGTTTTGTAATGACATTTCATTCTTTGTAATTTTGCAGTTTTGGCATTCAATGAAAAAATTTTAAGTATAGCCAGAATTATAATCATTTGAAACATGCTTTTCTCTATACTTACAGAGTTTTCATATACCAGTGCTATGCTCATTTTCTTTTTTGTTTTAAACATTTAGACTCTGGGTAAGGAACTATGCTAAGTGTTCTGGCTGAAGTAAGAAAAACATGCTTACGTAATACAAGGTTATGCATACAAAAATAAAGGAAAGGGAGGGGACACTCAAGTTTCCTGAGTATTTCCTTCCAGCTACCCAGGCTCTATGTCCCTACGTGAATAGTAATGTTATGGGTCATTTGAAATCCTTTATTTTCTGTATTACAATTTATTTGCCATTAGTTTACTTAGGTCATTTGCCCTTGGTCCCATTACCATGGCTAGTACATTAAAGGTGAAATCTGCCCATTGCCAGGAGTAATTCATGGGATGCTTTTTAATACCAGATGTTTTGAGGAGAGCCACTTGCAAAAGGACTGGTTTTTGGCTTATGGTCCTTAATACTTTGCCAGAAATTTGTTTTGAAATAAGGTTTCTGATACTCAAATAAAGTGTTTTCAAACAAATAGTGTGATGTTCAAGTTATCATCACTTTAGTTCATGTTAGAATAATCCACACTCTAAATCTGTTTGACATTTACCCCTTAAGTGTTTGGCATTAATAAATCATTTCCTTAGCGTCTTAGTATGTTCATAAGTAATTGTGTAACATCCTACATTTCCATTTGAGTGAAAAACAAAACAAAACAAAAACAAAACCATAGTGATTAAGACATAGCGTCTTGAAAAGCTAAGGGTCATTTGGACTTGATTACTTGAGGCGTTAGGGCCAAAGAAAAAGGGCAGGCAACTACAGGCTTAGGACTGTCATCTGGTATTGACACTTCGGTCATCAGGAGTAGCACCTTTTGAGTAGACTTCAACATTGTACTTTACGCAAATTACAATAAATACAAAATATGTGTGTGTGTGTGTGTGTGTGTGTGTGTGTGTGTGTTGGGGGAGAATAGAGGCTGGAGGTGGAGAGAAAGGTCGGTATAAACCTCAGCGTTTAGCTATGGTGAAAACTTGCTCAGCCAGCCTACCTCAAGTCCATATATGGAGTTCAAACACAAGTTCGGGAAAAGTCCTTCTGCAATTCTAACACACACACCACACACACAGGCCCGGCGGCCGCCGCCACTCTCGCCCCTGGCCGCACGGTGCGTCTTTACGCTGACGTTCCTTCAGAATGTGTAGGATGGCTCACCTGCGTCCTGTCACTCCCGCCTTACCTTCCCACATCAGGGATTGGGCCAGAACCTCGAATTCCCGCATTACCCAAGCTCTCAACCCCCGACACGCCTTCCCACGGGTCCCTGGCTGCTGTCCAGTCTCTTCGTGGCTGTGTCAGCCTTTGGCACCCCCACAGGGTCTCGGGTGCGTTCTGGGGCGCGTGAGGCGAAGGGACGCCCCTGGCAGGGGGACTGCACCTCCCACTCGCGGATGGCGGCCGCCGAGGAGGCGGGAGTTGGCTGCCGCCGAGGCCCGGGCGGCGGGCCCCGTCCGCGGCCGGCGCGCTCCTCGGTCCTCCCTCGCTCGTCTCCTTTGCTCATATTTGGACTCGGCTGCCCGTGCCCAGGAATTTCCCGTCATGCCTCCCGTCGCCCCGTCCGTCGCCCGGAGCCCGGAGGGAGGAGGGAGGCTCGGACAGCGGCGGCGGCTCGCGGGCCTTTCCATGAGCGCGCGGCGGACCCTCCCGCGCCCCCTCTCGCTGGGCCTCTGTCTCTGCCTCTGCCTGGTCGCGGCGCGGGATACCGCGCACCCCGGTAAGTTGGGGTCCGGCTCCGCCCCGCCTCGCCCTTTCTTCCCCCCTCCCGGGCCGAGTTAGACTGGGTCCCGGCCCGGGGTCCGGACGCCCGCGCAGCAGCGGCGCACCCTCAGCCTCCTGCGGGGACACCCCTTCCTCCGCCCAGGAGGGGCGCCCGGGGTGCGTGTTTGGGGGGGGTAAGGGTGGGGGCGACGGCCGGCGGAGGGCTGAGGAGAAAGAGGTCAGGGCTGGCTGGCGTTCTCCCCCCACCCCCATCTCCGCCGGCAGGAGGCGTCATGTCGCCGCGCTGACACCTTATCCTGTCCCCGGAGCGAACCTGAGCCCGCGGGAGCCGCTCTCCAGGCGAGGGAGAGGTCTGCACTGGCAGCTGGTGCTAGGCAGGGCGAAGGCCGCCACGGAGCCCCCTCCTCGCCGGTCGGCTCCCACCCTCGCCGGGGTGGCCGCCCAGATAACGGGCCCGGGGCGTGGGAACGCGCCGCCAGCCCCCGCCTCCGCCTCCGCCGCGCGCTGCGCAGGGACTGGGGCGCCCGGCGGGCTGGGGCGCGACGACTGGGGCGAGCGAGGAGGGGAGTCCCCGGGGGCGCGGTCGCCGCCCTCCGCCCGCCTGGCATTTCCTAGGCAGGAACCCAACAAATCCCAAGTTTGCCAGGTACCAGTTTTGTTTTGTTTTGTTTAGCGGAAGGAAAAAGAAAAAAGCAAATCTATTTTAAAAGTTTTATACTGGACGCTTTCAAGTCAAATTATTAGCTTTACGCTGCATGCCATCAAGTAAGGTAGTTGTGAAGTAGGAACAGTAAGGTCTCAAAAGGTCATTTGCTTTGAATCATGTGGAAAATATTAGGGAGGAGTTTTTTTTTTTTTTAAAGATGAATATGACAGATATGACATTTAACTTTATTAACTGTGCAGTTTATAAATACTAACTTAAGCAATATCAGTTTCATGTTTATTTCCAAATAATAATTTTTTTTTTAAAAAGGACCAATTCTTTATACATTCAGATTCTAGGAATAGCTTTAATAGCACTTCTTGGGAAACACAACAGGCTCTACCTTCATATTTTATCAGTGGGATTCTAAAAATACTGTGCAAATGGTAAAGACTGAATTGTACACAGGGAATATATTGTGGGTTTTTTTGGGGGGCGGGCTCAGTGATATGTTGACTTACTTAATGCTTGTGGTAAAACAGCCCTTGAAGACCAAAATCCACTGTATTGTGGCCCCTTGCCAGTAATTTTGAACACCAAGTTTATATTTGGACTATTTAAATGTGCATTCTTTTAATTTTGGACCCCGCTGATACATCAGTCTAATTTCTGGTGACTTTTATTAGGACCCTATGTGAATGTCTGGAATTTTTTATATTGAAATAAGAAGCTCTTTGCCATTTAGATTTTTGTCATAGAGCTTAAACTGTCTGTCTGCCTAGGTTGCAGCATACAACGTCATTTAGATTTTGAATCAACAGTTTAGCTTTTAAAGGTGCTTACTTCAATATTTTTCACTAAAATATTAACCAATAAAGTTAGAAATATTTACTGTTTTGCTCAAATAATAAGACTATCCAAAGAGCCAGGCACTGGTGGCTCACACCTGTAATCCTAGTTACTCAGGAGGCAGAAATCAGGAGGATCACAGTTTGAAGCCAGCCTGGGGCAGTTTGTGAGACCCTGTCTCAAAAAAAAAAAAAACCAATGCAGAAAAGGGCTGGTGGAGTGGTTCAAGTGGTAGAGCAACTGCCTAGCAAGTGAGAGGCCCTGAGTTCAAACCCCAGTACCACCAAAAAAGAAAAAAAGTTCAAAGACTATCCCAAAAGTAGAGATCATCAATTTTTCTAGTACATTTATCAATTATTAATCAAGATAGTTTTTAAGCCATCAAAAAGGAACTTTAGGAAATAATGGTTTTTAGTTCTGTCTTAATCTGGTCATAGCATCTTCAATTTTATCTTCATCTGTATAACTCGTGGTTAGGGATTGGGCTGATGAATTTGGTTCCAGTGTTTGGTTTCCTTCACTGTAAAATGATGAAGTTGGGTATTGTTTTCATGTGTATTCTAACTCCAGGATCCTATAATATTGTTTTTGTTTATATAGCCCTACAGAGCCAGCTACCACATCTGATTCAAACTACTGAGCGTCAGTTCAGTCTCTGACTTGCTACACATGTTAAACTGGTCTCATTGTAGTCAGATTGGATGGGTGTGGATACAGTTCTGGGGAGCCCAGATCTACTACAGGATTGTCTTGATACCTGGCCTATAACTGAGTTCCTTAATATTAAGCTTCTGTACTTTCTTCCCTTCAGTAGCAGAAAGTGCTGGCTTTGTAATAGGGTGTCATATGCGGAATGCCTGATTGCTCTTTGTGGGTGGTTAAGCTCAGGCCCTAACACCATTTGATAATTTTGGTATTTGGGTCTGGGTTAGGAATACCACCAGGGAGCACCTGAACCTTTTTGTGGTTGGGAATCCTGTGGCTAGCTATCTGGAATCATTCCAAACAAAATGCCCATTGAGGTATCACCTTTTGAACCTACCTCACAGAAGACTGAATTTAATCTATCTGATTTATTCAGAATAAAATTGCCTTTGGATAGGTGGATAATCAGTTATTTGTTGGCCATTATGAGCATTTCTTATTGCTGTACAGGTACCTCAGAGACTTACTTTGAATGTTCTGTATTTTCTCCTTCTTAGGCATAATGCATTTTCCTTTTAAAATGCTCAGTGCAGTCCCTGATCCCTGTTCATATGTTCATTTGTATAACATTCTGAAATACTAGTTTAAGGAAATAGAAATAAAGAGAAAAGTAAGTATAGGAAAAGTAGACCGGTAATTGATCAGTCAATTGACTTTATGGGAGATTTTGGTAATTGCCTCAATTAAGTTTCTGTTGTAAGTTACTCAAAGTAGTTTTAGCAAAATGAAAGTAAAGAAGGAAGACAGGAATTTGTTGGAAGACCATTGGAAGCCAAGTGCAGACAGAGCCTAGGACCATGGACTAGACAACCTGGAATATCCCTGTCTCCAGTCTTTGGCTTTTTTTTTTTTTTTTTCTTCATTACTGTCCTCTCTTTGCTGATCATTTTTTGTTCTTTTTTTTTTTTTTGGTTCTTTTTATTATTTTTCAGGGTTGAATGTGGCTGCTAAGCAGCTCCTGAGTATTTACATGTCCCTTGGCCCCAAGTACAAAGAAAGATTAAATTATTGAGCTCTGATCCTAAATTCCTGAGAGAAAGAACCTGATAAACATAGTTTAGGTCACATGGCTGATCTACATTTTCCTAAGGTCTCTTTTAATTCTAGAGTTGTCTGTAGTTTCTAGTGTAGCCCTTTAAATAGTTTGAGTTTGCATTTTTACATTTTAAGGTTATTAGTCTTTAAAATGTATAATTTGCTCCTGATTGTAATGTGTGTAGAAGTGTGTGGTATCCTCAGTGGGATTCTAGGACCTTAGTCAGCTCACACTGCTGAAGGAAGGGTGAAGAGGAAGCCTGTGAGGAGTAAACTGAGTAGCACCACACATGTTTAGCACGCTACTGAGTTATGAAAATCCTATGTGGTAACAACTAATCTGTTCTGCAGATAATCATCTGCATATTTTCAGAAAATTTACTGAAAAAATGCTGAGCCCAAATAGTCTTTTAGAATAAAAATTCACTAAAGCTACATAAGGTAACAGAGAAATTCAAAATAAAAATAGTTTAGAGACCAAGGATTCTTGAGCTTAGGCTATTCCTGCTGCCTGGACTTCTCTCCTACAGGTTGAAGTCTTTAAGACCTCTGTCAGATGGTATTGTGTGAAGCCATTCTCATCTTGTATTATTTATTATTTCCTTTTGCTTCTACAATATTTTATATCTTCCCTTGAATTCGAGTTCAATTACACTGTTCTTCATTCTTAGTGCTTTCCTCTTTTCTAGATTTTACAGGCTTTTCCACAAACATTCTAATTTCCTGTGTGAAGATCAAATATGTAGAACAGTAGGATGTTTTCCTGTTAACTAAAATGGCATGCGGAGAGTATAGCAAACTCATGTCGGGGGGACTCAACTTTTGTTGAACATCCAATATTTATGAGGTCAAATAGAGGCCAGGTGTTGAAAAAATTTTTAAGCACATATAAAAAGGAATAGGGGGAAGATAAAATAGAAGATGGAAAATTTAGCTTGGCTTGGAACATGGAAGGCCTTTAATGCCAGGCCAGAGAATTTGAACTGGGTTCATAAGCTATGAAATTGGAGTTTCTTTATCCTTGATATGCATAATCACAGTTGAATTTTGTTGTATTATGTAACAGTTCAGAGGATGAATTGGGAAATAAACCGTAAGATGAATAAGGAAGTTCTGTAAGAGCTTTTGTCAGAGTGAAGACTTGAATTAGGACAGAAGCAATGGGATTGGAGAAGTTGCTGAAGTTCACGGGACAGAAATAGTTACTTTGGATATTGAGAAAGAAAGGGATGAGTAAAAAAATGATGCTTAGAGGTTCAGCCTGGGTGACTGAGAGAATGTGAACTCTGAACAGGCTGTGAGTGGGGTAAAAATAAATGTTGTTTTAGATCTGCTGGTAGGACTTTCCTGTGGAAGTAGATAGCAGAATTAGATGTGTGAGACTGGAACCTGGAGGGAGAGAGATAAGGGCTGGAAATAAAACATGTATGAGTAAAGAAGAGAGCATTTGTTGGCTAAAGTAAGAGGAGAGGTCCAGGAAAAGCATCAAAAGAAAGATAGAATTTGATATGGCTTTTGAAGGCAGGTAGCATTTCTGCCCGTGAACTTTCTTTTTGAAGGGACATCGCATTATAGTACATGGGAAATACTGAACAAAGGATACTGCATCCAGAATGACCTAGAGAAAATGCAAAATTGTTGTTGCTGTTTCCTTGCTTACCCTTCCTTTTGTGGCTTCTCATCTTTCTTTAGAACTCTTTAGATGTTTTTATCATCACCAAGATTTGGTTTACTCTCTAATTTGGATTTCCTACAAGTTG